CGACCAAGAGGCAGCAAGCGAACTAACACAAAATCTTCCAAAGGTTACAGAAGAACAAAATATACATCTAACCAAACTAATAAGCGAAGAAGAAATAGGTAGCATAATAAATGCACTGCTTTGCAACAAAGTACCTGGATCAGATAGTCTTATCTATGAGTTTTACAAAGATACCAAAGAGGAACTTCTTCCTTTTCTAGCAAAACTCTTTAATTATGTCCTTAGCTCAGGCAATATGCCTAACTCCTGGAACAAAAGCATAATTACACTGATTCAAAAAAAATCTGACAACCTAGAAGATATTAACAACTAGAGGCCGATCTCACTTGTAAACAGTGATGCCAAAATTTTCATGGAAATTATGGCTAATCACATTAATCCAATCTGCAATCAACTTATTGGTCCAAAACAACAAGCATTCATTAGAGGGAGATCCATTACAGATACTGCTCTAGATATTTTGACTGTGCTAAGAAACCAGACAGATCAATCTAAACAACACCGGCTCTTGCTACTTGATCAACAAAAGGTATTTGATAGAGTTAATCACTCATATCTACAAATGGTCCTTCAAAAAATGAGCTTTGACCCAAAGTTTACAAAAATTGTCAACACTCTTTTTCTACTCAGCAAGCACATATTACAGCAAATGGCCATATCTCAGATCCCTTTAAAGTAGAACAAGGGTTAGACAAGGAGACCCACTTTCTCTGCTGCTGTATATACTAGCTTTTAACCCACTTTTAATAGCTTTACAACAAAATTTGCGAGGCATCTATATTAACAACCAAGACTTCAAACTAGCTGTATATGCAGACGGTTTGACAATTGGAATCAGCTTTACAATGGACTGAGACAGCTTTACAAACATTATTAACAAATATGAAAAGGCATCAAGTGCCAAGATTAACAAACACAAGTCTATCCTAATTCCACTTACAGAAAATGCTCACAGAATCCAATTAAGAGAAGCAGAGCTACTACAGATGCATGAGGCAAACAAAGCTCTAACAATTCTGGGATATAAAACAGATATTACTGGCAACCCTTCCAAGAATATCTGGCAAAAATTAACAAAAAAAATTAAAAAAAGTGTAGACCACCTCTCAGTGTGTAACCTTTCACTTAAAGGGAAGATTCTGGTAGCCAAGTCATTACTTATTTCCAAGATTTGGTACTTAGCTTACTTGCTTCCACCTAGCAGAAAACAATTTAATGAAATCAATACAATTATCTCAAATTGAACCAAAAACAAATCCAAAATGCTTCCCTGATATTCAACCTTTCAACTGAATCAGGAAGATGGAGGGCTAGAGGCTCCAATACTAAAAGATATGCTAGACACAAGACTGGTTTCAATCTGGATTAAACTCCTCTCAAGCGATCACTTCTGGGCTAAAACAAAAAGAAGCATCATTCAAACTGATATCCGAAAGAAAAGAAATATAACAATTAATACAGCACTTACAACTCAAAATATAAAACTAAAAGGATGGCCAGACAGATGGAAACCTTACCTAAAAGCGTGGATCAGAACTAAAGGCCAAGTAGCAACGGTAAACAATTGGCCCTGGCCTCTAGAAAATCTAAAAATAGAACAAGTTACAGCTGACAACTACTCAGTAAAGAACTGCACAGGAGCATTATGCAAAGAGCTACCACCAGCTCCTACTCTAATACTAAATCCAGAAAGTTTACAACAGGAACTAACAAGCTGGGTCAAAATGAGATGCATTCAAAACAAGAAAAAAGATATTTTTTAGTGGTTATTACACAGAGCATTACCATTGGGATCATATTTCACAAAATTTAGATTCTAACTGCCCAGGCTGTGCTTATACAATACAAACCATAGAACATTTCGCTATTAAATGCAATATTAGCAGAAGTATCTGGAACCAAGGATATAAAATGCTCAAAAACCATATGGAGGATCCACAACCAAACTCAATCAAAAAAATTTTCTTGGCAATTAATATAAAAAATCCCAAAAAATGCCATGCAGCAATTTGGGTTCATATTCATACAATTTATAAAATTTGGCTTTGGTATACTTAAGCCAAATTGGGAAATAACCTAATTCCAAAAAATATAGCCATTAGTTTATCGAAAATAAGGTTACAAAAAGAAATCAAACTTTTAAAAAATTTAGTTAACAAAAAAGGTGGCTCTAAAACAGAGAAACCTAACAATATCCTAAAGTTTATTAATATTGATTTGTAAATATATATAATACTTTATAAATAGAATAAATAAATAAAGTATACTTAGATGCAGTTTAAAAAAAAAAACATTTAAATACATTTCTGTCTCTTCATCAGTCAATTTTAGCTAACTATATTTTTCTGTAAGAAATTTGTTTACTATTATTAACCTTTTATTTCACTTTTTTTGCAAAAGCATCTTATCTTCAGGTATCTAAATCCTTTTGTTATTTTTATTCAAATAAAATACACATTTATTATAGATTATAAAAATTAACTTATGTTCACCTTTATTAAATACTGATAGAACTAGAGATATAGACATTTTGAGATAACGGAGTTATAGTATTTAATACTGATATAGCATTGGTATAATTTAGGTAGCAAATATTATAGATGTTATAGGTTGTAATAGAAGTAGTAGATTGTAATAGAAGTAGTAGATCATAATAGAAGTAGTAAATCATAATAGAAGTAGTAAGTCATAATAGAAGTAGTAGGTAGTAATAAAAGTAGTAGGTTATAAAGAAGTAATAAGTAATTATATGTATTATGTATCATATATCATAACATAAGTGATAATGTAAGTAATAATAAATAGTATAATGATATATGTTGTAATGTTATATAGCATATTTATTAAATAATTAATTGTAACAAAAATAAAATAAAAATAAAAAAAAATTTTATCCTTTAACAATAGCAAGTTTAAGTAAAAAAACTCAATTATTTTAGATGATACTAGCTCTGTTTTTTTCAAAACAATTAACCAAAAAGCAAAAAAACTAGTGGTTCAAATTGTAATAATAGTAATAGTCACTATAAAGCAACATACTACTATTGCAATCAAAGCTAAAAGCATAGAAAACCTTAAATTATAAAAGTCTATTTAGCTAATCATTGCACATCTTGTTTCAAAGACATTAGTGCATATTGGCATAAAAAATTAACTGAAGAAATCAATAAATATACTTGTAAATCATCACCTTCTATACAAACCTCCAAATCTTTACAAAATAATTCTCTTTCTTCTGAAATAAATAGTCGTCTTGATCAATCACTATTAAAAGCTTAGATTATAAAGAGATCCTATTTGAAATTATCAAAAATCCTTTTATAAGAGATTTTATTAAAAATTTAAATCCAAGATATATTCCACCCTCACAAACAACACTTCTAGAATGTTTTTTAGATACTAAAGTTGCATAAACAACCAGCATAATCAATAGTGAACTCAAATATTGTGAAAATCTTATCTTAAGTATATAAATATATTATTATTATTGTACAAAGATGGAAATAATTATTGTATAAAGATAGAAATAATTATTTCAATTAAAGGCATAGAGATACTATGTTTTAAAAATTACAATTTTTAATATTTAACTTTTTTTTTATAAGTGTTAGATGCTTGGATATTGTCACATATAGATTGAAAAGAATACTTTATTGTACTTTAAAACTACTTATCTAAAGCATACACAAGTAAATTTTTAACTCAAGAAAAATCTAATTTAATTGAGAATATAGAAAAAAAAATTGCTGTCATAGTTACAAATGCTGCATTGAATTGCAAATATGCATGTTAAAAGATTTAAGGATCTTATTCTTATATATAGAATATTTGATATACAGCATATACAATCAACTTAATTGCAATTGATTCGATTAAAATAACAAATATTAGGAATATAATTAATAAATATAATAAGATTGTAATATTTTTAAAGAATCTCATTAATGAAATAACAAGGTTTGAATAAAATGAAAATTCGATTAGAAGAGCTTTAGTCATGATACAAGACATATTAAGCCTTATTATAGTTTACTATAGATTTTATTTTATATATGTGCTCTGTATTTGATTGAGTAACTATATTATAATAAAAATTTTAACTTTTTATTTTTTTTCTAATTATTATTTCAAATGTTGAAATTCTTACATTATTAAATGATGATGAATTCTTTTACTACATATTGACAGATTAGATCAATTTGGACACTATTAAAAGAAGTTATTAATATACTTGAAGCAAATACAGCTAATCTAGCTAATTGTTTTAATTATTTAATTAAAATCACAGTAATAATTTATTAAATTCATACAAATAACACATTTAAACAAGTAGCAATAAATATATTTAATAAACAATTTAAAGAATTTTAGCATCTAATTTATCTTCTATTATATTTCATGCATTCTTACTATCATAGTATTTAAATATCTATAAACTTTGATTATATAAATTTTATATGATTGAAGTTTGATTTTTTCTAATCATAAATAATTTAGAAAATTCTTAAAATATATCTGAGTAAAGGTTATTATCCTATCTCTTAATTTTAGTTTTTTTAAAATTAGTTAGTATGTGATGACTATTAAATTTAATTTAATTATGTTTAGTCATAGGTTAAGAGCCTATATCTCAGGTATATTTTAAAGACACCCAATAATTTATATATAATTTATAGAAAATTACTACAAATCACCACTGGTGATTTATGATATATATTTTAGGTGTAATGTATAAACTTTTTAAACAAAGTTTATTTGTTTTGATATTAGGGTAAGAGTAATGGTTTGATAATAAAGTTAAACAAAACCTATAATAAAATTTTGCAAGAATTTTTTTTTGTTAGTGCCTGAAAGATGGTTTCATAGACAAAATTTTAAGATATGATTGATTTTTTAAAAAATTCTTTGTTTTTGTTACATGAAACTGATCTGCACATTACACCTGATCTTGCAAATTGATTGGCTAATTATGTACTGGTGATGATCACCAGTGATAATAAATAGCAAACTTCTAATTTATATATAATTAAATTTATTTTTTAAAATAGGTTTCAGATTCAACTCTCCCCAATAATCACTCATACCAAACTTACAGCTAACAAAAACAGAAACTTGTTAGAGAAAAGTAGAAGAGACAACTATATAATAATGGTTTTTACAGAGGTTAAGGATTTCTATGTTTCCTCCGGACTTCTCTGTATATTTAGTATACAAGTTAAAAGCATTTCTGTACAAGATAACTGGCAAGAAGGTAGTGCCTTTGTACAGAAAATTTTAATAGAAGCTCTGCTTCTGCTGACGAAGTTAAAGATACTATAGTTGGTCTAAGGAGAACAACAAGCAAGTTTTCAACACACTCCTTACCGAAGTTTAAGGCTACCTGCAAACCAAAACCCTCTTCCATACCCACTCTCTTGGTCTTTGCGAAATTTCTATAATAAGTGAGAAAAATAGCATACTCCCATCAAAAGATCGATAACAACAATCGCTGCTGAAAAAAGAAATACACATACACGTATACGTATGCTTTAGATTATAGTGTTAGATACTTTATCCTCAAGAGGTTATGATAGTTATACTGAGAGTGCCCGATCTACCAACGTAGATCGACGAACAATAGCTCGCAAACTTTGTCCAGGAAGTTACAGTTTGAAACATTGCAGAAGGCTTGTCAACAGTTTGAGATAGCAACTAGAAGTTTTGACTCTTGGAGCTCTACTTCAAGACTGGATGGTTTTTTATATTTTTACATCCTGAATATAGATATAAATAACTAGCATAGAGTTTTAGTCTAAATTATTTGTAGTACTATAAAATTTTTACAATTCTGCATGGATTTAATAGTGCCATCTTTGTTTTTTTTTCTTTTTTTTCTTTTTTCATTATTTGTTTTATTTGGTTTTATTGATTTAGGTAGACCAGAACTCGACGCCATACTATAGTATTTCTCTATTTTTGTTTTGCTCTTTGCATTTGTGTTTGTATTTCATTTGGTAAAAAGGAAAGCTAACTTTGATATGATATGTGGCACCAGCTTATGACCGAAGGATAACTTCTAGTAAGTTAGAGGCCCAGAGAGAGGCTTGAAGTCCACTAAGACAAGTCATATCTAGCGAAAGTATGAGTAAGCTACTTTATAGGTGGATAAGTATAGCTATTATTAGGAAATATAAATTTCTTAATTTAGTTAATCTGCAAATAAAAATTGGCTAGACTGCTATATTATAAAAAAAATAAAAATAAATTTCAGATTAAAAGATAGTAGATTTAGAGAGTTAGCACTTGTTACTATTATACTTTAACAAAGTTTAAATTGTAGCAAGCAAGAAAGTAAAGAATTAGTTATTAAACTTCAACATTTTGATGCTAAACTATCTCCATATGACTTATCATATATTACTAAAAAGGTTATACCAATTTTGTAGTAAAGTCAATTAAATTCCAACCTTATTATTTAGCAGAATTGATATGTTGACTTTTTTCAATTTCTCTCTTACAAGCAAGTTGTAAGAAAAATTTATCTATCTTAAAATATACTATAGAGCTAAAGTCAGATGATTAATATAAAATCTGAGTTAAATAGCTATGAAAAAAAAATTACAAAAGCCAAATTACATAGGTTGTCAACATATCAACAGTTAATGAGATAATGGTTTTAAATGAAGATGATAATTTGGTTAATTTAGGATCATTTAAAAATATCAAACCTATCTCTATGCAAGATGATTTGCTTATTACTGAGATAGTTGACTTGTCACAATATTATCCTAAGAATAAACAAGAAATAGATATTGTAAATAATGATTACATAATTAAATTTGAAAACTTTGCTTATTCACTCAAAGATTTAATAAATCAACTCTTAAAGAGCTAACATTTAAGAGCTCAATATAGCCCCTGGAGATTGTCAATTGACTATTCTCAGAGTATCAGAGTCAGTTATTTGACAATTACAAAAATTAAGAACAATTATATAAATTTTGTATATTTTATATATTCTTTACATATTTTATATACTCTTTACATATTTTATACACCTTATATATTTTATGTATAATTATGCATAATTATGCAAAATGTATATAAATATGCAAGAGATGCATAAATATATATAGAGTATATAAAATATGCATCTTTTGCATACTATATTTTATATACCCTTTGCATATTTATATACCTTTGTATAATTATATATAATCATGCAAATGATGTATAAAATATGCAAGGAGTATATAAAATATGTAAAGAGCATATAAAATATGCAAAATTTATATAATTTTTTTTTAATTTTTGTAATTGTCAAATGACTAACTCTGATGCTCTGGAGAATAGTCAATTAACAATCCTCAGAGGGCTATATTGAGCTTTTAAATATTAGCTCCCTTAGTTAATAGATTTATAGAAGATTAGTTATATCATTAATTTATAGTTATTGGATAGAGTTTCAAAAATATGCACATGGATGTTAAATGGTGGAAGATGATTGGTGCAGATTATGCCATGCAGCGGCATGATTGCACCAATCATCTTTCATCGTTTAACACCCACGTGTATATTTTTAACCCTATCCAATAATGGTATTATTGTGAAGCAGTTATTGACAACTATACTATTTTTTTTATTTGTATAGCTTATGTCAACAAAATAAACTTTTTTCTTACATCCCTTCTTTTTTTTTTTAATATGAGACTGTTGTTAAAATTTAAGCCATAAAAAAAAAAGATGTAAAAACAGTAATGATGTAAACTATACAAATATGAGAATTTTTAGTGCAGTCATCAATAACATGGCTGCACAATAATATGGGTTATAGTATGTATCAATATATATTTATAATTATTTTATTGCTATTTTTAAAATATTTTTATTTTACAAATATAGCTTAACTCACTCTTTTAGCACAACTTTGATAATATTCAAAACTGTTGCAAAGATGATTTTGAATATAAATTGTTTGTTAAATAGTTTACATTAACTTTTGTATATCAAAAACTTTTATATCTTAATGTAACTAAAATGATTTTTTTAATTTTTATAAAGGATATTATTTAGCATTTAGAATATTTAATTCCAAAAGAAATAAAAATAATAAAATTAGTTTGACCCTCAAGCAGCTTTAATAAACTCAAATATATTTAAATAATTGTGCTACTATATATAAAATCAGTATTTATATATTTTGGTTCATGTTTTATTAATTTATAACTTGTTTTTTTTAAAGCATAGATCATTTATGAAGCTTACATATAAATTGTAATTGTTTTCCAAAATACTAAATATAAATCAAACTCTATAATGTGCTATATATAAATACAACAAGCATATTATAGCCTATAGTGGTTATTACAATCTATAGTGATTATTACGACTTACAACATTTATTATGACCTATGATATTTATTATGATCTATATTATATATTACA